TTCGAGCTATCTCACAGTTCACAACATATAAAGAGACGTAAATTTGTCTGACACTGGGGCCCATTGGTCGGCTACCTGTTTTTAGTCTGAGTCGATATGTTTTAAATAATTCAATATTATAATGTTCAATCAAAAAACTACATATAAAATAGTTCATATTTCGAAAAAATCTTTTCATAAAAAATATTTCATGAAAATTTAAGTGCGATCGATTTTCATCTAATATTACTTTAAGATTACTCCCAGCTCTATAACGGTAGCAACTGGAGTTAGTATTGCACATATACAAACWCMTTATTCGTTGTGTAAAGTWGAGTTGCCGACTAATCCATCATATYTACATAAGTACAACGTACATAAAAAAGGTTTCAACTTCAAAGCTCAATGCGCTTACACTCGTTCGCTCTTCTGACCTGAAGTGTCGTCTGACGGCTCCAACAACAGACTCAACACCTTGCCTGTTACTCTTGCTTATCTATAATTGCAGATATATTGAAATTTTATTTTCTTCTTTGTTAGTCGACTGGGCTCCCCCYCTGCATCCACTCGTTCAAAAGGAATCAACGAGAGAGCGAATGAATGGATGACGTGCCGAGCAGGAAAAATGCTTCCGGCTTAATGGCAATTGTTTTATTGCCTGACTATTACCAATGATAAGCAAAAAACAGTCAACGCTTGCGCGAAGTAAAGGTGCAGCGACACTTCGCGAATGACCGCGTCCTCGATATAGCGATATCCAGACTCATCTTGTCTGCATTCAATGTTTGTCGTGCTTCGACAACCTTAAATACACGTATACCGCTGTACAATTACATTCCGGTAAGTGCATAGCATTTCATTTAGCTGGACTCATACTGAATTCTCTTTGCCGACTCCGCGCCGCTTTGTTGTAGTAGAGTAAACAACAGTGGCGTAGCAACAAGGCACATTTTTAATTAGGGGCGGGAGATGTGGTTSAAGTAATTTTGTTATGAATATAAACGAAAAGTGGGTTGAGTAGATGAACAAACAAGGAATGGAAAAATAATATAAAACAATTGAGTTGTTATAATTATGAAAACAGGAGAATGAATAAAAGTCAGCTATTCGGAGAAACATGAAAATGGCGGATGTGACGTGTTTAGTAAATGCCTACAATTCTCTATTTGTTCGCAATTATAAATATGGCTTTGAATATATAATCGTATGGTATCTAGCGCGTCGCACTTGTATTTTTAGTCTTTTCTGGTAACGGGGCTTTCAATATGGACGCTATAAAAGTAGACCGATAGGGACAGCAAACGTCGCCATATTTTTTTCTAGATGTTTTCACATTTCTCTTCAGTAAGGTTTGCCATTTCATCATGGAAAGATATACGATCCAACAATGAATCGAAATTATTAAAATTTACTAACGAAATTCGGAGWCAGTGGCCTCAACTTTAAGAGCGCTACGTCCAATTTATGGTCGTCATAATCATCCTGTCAGATCACCAACTGAGCGCCTAGTGGAAAAATTTCAATCCACAGGCACATTACAAAATGTTACCGTGCCAGTGAGACAAAGAAGTGTCCGTAGTATCGAGAATATTGCTGCCGCTAGCACAYCAATTGAGGAAGACCCAAATCAGTCACTCTCAAGTCGTTTTCAAKCGTTGCGCATCTCTGTGATATCGTTGTGTCGAATTTTGCGAAAAAATCTTGGCCTACATCCTTACAAGATCAAATTGACGCCAGAACTGAAGCTGCTTGACCACCGGAATCTTCGWATGTTCGTCAATTGATCACTATTTTCATAGAAAAATCATCTGAGCGATGATGCTCAGTTCTGGCTGAATGACTTCGTCAATAAGGAAAAGATGCTTCAATGGTGAGGCAGCAATCYGCACATACTTCTGAGTCACCATTGCATCCCGAGAAAATTACGGTTTGGTGTGGTTTATGGGCCGTCGATCTTCCGAGATGATCAAGACCGACCCGTTACTGTGAATGGAAATCGCTATCGCTCCATGATAACCGAATATTTTTGCCTCGAATTTGATGCTAAGGACTTGGACAATATGTGGTTGCTACAGGACAGCACCACAAGCCAATCAGCGAATGTCACAATCGATTTATTGAAAAGCAAGTGTGGTAAACGTGCTATCTTGCAAAATAGCCCAGTCAATTGACCACCTTAGTCGTACGATTTGAAGCCATTAGCCTATTTCCTATCGRGCTACGTCAAGTCTATGGTCGAACCGTCGAAAATTGGRTTCAGCGTCTGKACTTCTACAAGCATGCCCGTGGTGGCCATGCTAAAAAAATCGAGTTCCATACATAATATTATCCAATGTACATTTACAGGAGTGAAGAATTTGATAGACTTCTCAAACCTTTGTAGCGGCTCTTATTGAAAAATAATGTATATTTCTAAATCTCAGATCCAAGAAAGAGTTTATGAAAAAAAATGATGGAAATTATTGAAATGTGTAAAACCATGCAYTGGTGTACTTTTTAGACATAACACCAGCTAAAGAAAATATAAACTCGACAAAACATATATCATAATTCAGCTGTTTGTATTGCTTMTTTGCGAAGTGTGAATTTCATTGCAGGACTAAGCAGGTACACAATGATATATGCATATACTCGTAGTCAAGTGATTTATTTGCATACATATATATGTATTTGCATCATTGGCTCTGCATACTACTTTTACATATGTAAATGAGCAAAACAAACCCTACAGGCTTTAATTGAAATACAACAATGTGACAGGTGAAATATTACCGTGGAAATTCGCAGAAATAAAAGGCAAACTGACCATGAACCTCGGACTTAATGGAACAATATGCAAATTGCTTATTTACGTATGTATAGAAATACATATACAAGTACATTTGCTAACATGCAATTTCGTATGCACGAATATCCGAGAACATGTGTGTGTGTGTATGAGTTCGACGAGAAATTGCTTGGCATCCTTATATGTATACATATGTTATATATTTAAGTATAAATGGTGAATTTTTAACGCTTTTGGCGTTACGGATAATATACCACTTTTTACGTATATTTTTAGTATGAAAATTGCCTCACATTTTCTAAAATAACCCGAGAAAAAGACAGCCCAAATTATATGTTTAACGAAGACCTGGACACAAATCTACCAAGTAAAMTTAAAAATAATATTATAGTATACTCTCTCTCATATAATCCAAGCAGAGCTACTTTTTAGCTGTCATTTTATGTTTGTTCAGTGTTGCTTTACGTCGAGATCTTAAAACGAAAGCGTACAAAATACAGCTTGTGCGAGAACTCAGTCCACTCGACCTTCCGAACGACATCACCTCGAATATCCGACGTTTTAGAGCCAGATTCTGGGTCATTTCCAACTGAAAAGATTCAAGCAGATTCAGAGCTCGCATTTCATCTAGAAAAAACAATGGTTTTGTGAATTTTATGAGGCGGTGGAATCATCGGTTCATATTTCTTCAAAAATGATGCTGGTGACCGTTATCGCGCCATGTTAACAAACAATTTGATGTCTGAAATTGCAGCTCGTGATCTCGRCGACGTTTGGTTTCAACAAGAKGGCGCCACTTCTCACACATCGGTGAGCAGAAAATTTCACGTCGGTCGATTGGCCACCAAGATCGTGTGATAGCACACCGTTAGACCTTTTTCCTTGTGTGGATATGTAAAGTCTAAAGTCTATAAAGACAAACCCRTCCGATTCTTTAATTAGAGCAAAACATCAAGCGTGTTCTTCGCCAGTAACCAGWTAAATGCTAAAACGAGTTACCAAAAATTGGACTTAATGGATAAATAATGTGAGACGTAGCCGTGGCCAAGATTTGAAAGAGATAACCTTTAGAAAATAAATGCCAAGGAATGATCTTTCGAAGGGCAATAAACATTCCCAATTAAATTTGAAATTTGTGTCTTTTCTTAAAAAAAAAAATAGGTAAGTAAGCAGTCGGAGGTTCGAAATGCATCCTCCTTTATTAGAGGTTAGATGTAGGCGGAATTATTAAATAAAAAATCGACCCTTTTCACATATATTAAATAAAAAATCGACCCTTTTCACATTCTCTTAGAGTATAATATATTTCAAGTATTCTATGGAAATTTCAAGTAAATACTTTTCGGGTTATTCGATAATTAGCAAAGGGTTCATGGGCGCTTTGGAACGTTCGAGAGCAGATAGCAGATAACAGCAGCTGTAGTTTAAATATTTTTTGTCGAAATTATGTTTGAACTGGTCACTACTGTAGACCGACAGCCGCTTGGTGGCTGTGGTGGGAGTATTGGGACTTTGGACGCTATTATAGCTGGATACGCTATTTTGATGCACCTTTTTAGGACCTTTATAAACTTGCTATCTCTCTTCCTCATTACGCTCAAAGAAAGTTTAAAATGGCCTCCTTTTTGTACACAATGTTTTCAAAATGGCCAGAATTCAGTTATATGTACTAACTATAAGTTTGTAAAAACTATTTCTGGACATATGTTGGATCATATCTGCTTCGTTGTCTTGAAATTGGTTATCGAATACCATCTGATCTGAGCTATTTCTTCAAAATTAGTATATCGCTCTATTTTGATCGATCATAGCGGGCATGGTATCAACTTCCTCTCCGATTCGTCTAAAGACCCTCCTAGCATGGCCAACTCGTCTGTTTCTGTGAACCTACATTTTTTACAAGTTGGTTGACCTCCCAGTTAGCTTAAAGCCTTTCTACAATTTTTGATTAACATTGAATTTAAAGCTGTGACATCGACATCAAGGCAAGATCTGTCTCTGACTACACCTAGACCCTGATTGACTAAGGCTAACATTTCAGAACATTATTTTTCTTGGAGCAAATATTGGAAACTACTTTTTCTATTATCAGATATTGTTTCCAACGCAAAATGGTGTTCTTGTACTAAGGTTTGTTTGTTGGTCTTATGCTTCGGCTGGAGGGCTTTCAACTCCAATATAAAAATAGTTATACGAGAAAAAAAAGGTGATAATAAAATCCATTAGTAGATTTCAAAAGATAAGATGTTATTAAAATTGAACTGATATCGTTACTGATAAATCTATTTATGAAACACACACACCTTTACATCTTACACGACTCTTCAATATTACTCCAAAGTTGAAATATAACAAATAATAATTTCTGAATATTTAAGTACTGCTAGAATTGGAACTAACGCTATGTAGTGAACTATTCGATGAATTCTTGCGCGCCAACTCAGCTGAATCGCACGAGAGACCCGACGAAACAGCCGCATTTGAGCCGGTGGCGCTTGCATTATGGCGACCCGGTTGCGGTGATGTTGGATTCGACAGACCGGTCTCGTGTATGGGCGACAAAGTTGGTGAACGTGTACGTAAGAAATGTTTGCGTCGCTGACGGCGATAAACGTTGCTCAGCGTAGGAAGTCTTTGCACCGGCGATAGCGTGCCCGAACTGCCGCCCGACGAATGCGAGACAAAACTCAGTGTCTCTGCGAGTTCTTCCAAATTTGTAGGATTCGGTATTTTGCGACGCGTCGGTGGTGGTAAGGCCGGTGGCAATGTAATTCCCATGGGTGTCGTATATGTCATGGACGTGTCGTCACGTATCACTGATGTGGGCAGAATCGTTTCAATGGCATTGGGCGTCTGACCTGAGGGGGTTGTGAGATTGCTCGAATCACTGTAGATGCTCTGATCGCTACGCTCCGACGCTGTCGTTGTGGATGAGGGCGGCTGTGGTGAACTGCTGTCGTTGTAATGTTGTTGCGATTGTTGGTGATTATTCAGATGTTGGCGGCTGTAGGCGCCATTGCCGCTAGGCTGCAATTGTAATGGGCGGATTTGATTTTGTTTCACCTGATACTCATCAATAGTACTAATTGCATTGTTGACGTCCGTTTGACGACAACGCGTGCGACGATAACGACCGAGCATACGCATCATATGTCTCAGGCGTGGCATTGGCCAGGTGCGTGTGTGGCGTACGCGTGAGCTTGCTTTGAGATTGGCACTGCGTGGAGAAGTTGGGCGGCTACCACTGAGGCTGGCAGTGCTGCTGTCAACGCTGCCGCTACCATTGACTGTTTTAATGAAATGCACTGGTATCTCTGTGGCCTTTACCTTCTTGCCGCTGCTGGTGGCAGTGCTGTGTTGGTGACGCATCGCCAATGCGGCGATAATATCATTCGGCACATCGGGACTGTCGGGCACACTCGAGCAACAATTCCATTTTCGGCGCCAACGCTGATTCTTCGATATCGACTTCATACAGCAGCGTTGATGCTCGCTATTAACCACTTTCGAACTCGCCGAAACGGTACGCGGCGTTGGACTCCACTCTCTCGGACCATGGGCGCTGCGTTGCTTGGCACTGACCGTACGTGCGCTTACATCGCCGACACGTTTACTCACTATGGGACTGCGTATACGAAAGGTACACAGCGTGCATTGCTCGGTGTACTGCATGTATGAGCGACGCGCACTTATCGCCTCCAAGTCGCTGACCAATGTGGCTTTGGACGTTGCAGCACTGACACGACGTTGCGTCGCCATCGCGCCGAATGAAGAACAGCAATGGAAGGACTTGTACCCTCTCTCTGTTGCTTCAGCGGTGTCGCTTGCGTCGTACATGTGCCCGGCTCTGGTGCTGTCTCCACCGCTGATATGCGATATTGCAAGCGGCGAATGCACCGCGTTATCCTCGAGCAGCGAACACATGTAGTATGTCTTTGAAGCGGACTGATGATATTCCCTGGAATTAACGCAGCAATGTAGACGCGAGCGCGGACTGTCATCGCGTTTTGGCGGCGGCTTACGCGTTTCAAAATAATGCACATCAGCGGGATTGATGGCGTTCGGATGTCGTGCGCTTGAACAAAAGTAAATTTGGCCACAGTCATTAGTCTTTTTGGACGGAGTCAAAGGGTAATGTTGATGATCTTTTTTTGGCTGCTTAGCGTTGGCTTCTTTAGCTTTGAGCTCCTGCGCTTGCCGATGGTTGCGTATGTACTCGTAGGTTGTAAGTCCCAAAAATGAGATGTATATGTGGAAAAAGCAGAGATGCATAAGCAGTCCAGCGGTGATGGCGGCCAGCAGACCTAACAAACCAATAAGCACCAAAAATATTGTGTCGCTCACACCAATGCCGGCTATGGTGGCCACTGTAACATTACTGGTCGATGTGGCGCCTGCCGTGTCCGACGTTGTGCCGGCTCCACTGTATGTTTGATTCAAGTGCAACAGCAGGGTGTCGTTGATTGTGTCCGCAATCAGTGTACTCACGTTCTCAGCAAGTGCTGGCAGCGTCCCATTATCCGGCAACAAATCGGTATCCAKCAGATAAGCGCTAATATTGGCGGTAACATTTGKGGCAAATTCAATGTTCGCCGTGGCATTGCCARCTTCGGCCGTTGTATCATTAAGCGYGCTGGCATTGCGTGCGTAGAGCACCGCAGCGGGGTAGTCGCTTGCAACATTGGTTACATTTCCGTCTGTGGACTGCCAGAAGCTCAGCCATTCGGGATGGACATAGTAGAGYACAATTTGCGCCACCACAGCTGCGACTATGACCACCGTCGCGGCCACTGCACTGACCACACACATTAGAAATGCCGCATAATTACGCGAACCGATACAGTGATTCAACCATTTGCAGTGATGATCGAACTTRCCGACGCACTTATTACAAACCGAACAATGTTTCGTGCGYTGCGACGAGGTGCGTATATTACATAAGTGACAGCGACCGTTTTCAATGACATGCGCGTGTCGGTTGCGGTCGAATTCCGGCACTATGCGATCGTTSCGATGCACGCGTTGCAGCTCACGATCGGCGGGATCGGTAAGCAGTGCGGTCAAATGTGACACCACATGCACGACAAACAAACCGCCGACAAGACCGTATAGTGGTCCCTGTATTTCAATCGAGAACGACGGTATTAGTACACAGAATGTGGCTATACCGAAGAGTATGAGCACAAGCCAACCGAATACTTGTAGYGGATGTAGCGGCAATTGTAARCCATGCAAACGACGGCCGCGACGATGATGCACATCGGCGATATTTTCTTGATACGAAATGCAACGCGACAGATCACAACACTGTGGGGAAGCGCGAGTTTGTGTTGACGGCTCCGCGGCGTTGCTGGTCGCTGTTGTATTGGAGACGGTGATCGCTGAAGCTGTAGGTTTCAAATATGTGCAGGAATGCTGACGATCGGCAGTCTCGTTACTGTCTGTTGTTGATTTCGGTGATGTTGCGGSGGGCTTTAACGARTGCTCGTCGWGCGCTGATGAGTGACACTCGTCGGTGATGCTGCTCGTGCTGATGGTAATGATATTATCGCCACCGTTCAGAGTGGACYCATGCGGCTTCACAGCRCYATCGTCTGTCGCAGCGGTAATCGTGGCAACATTGCTTTGTTTGGGCATGTTTCAMAAGCATCGGCTATGATTGAGTTTTGAAGATAAAATCCAAGCTGGTAGTCTAGAAGTTTTTGTTGGAGATGAAGATGAAGATGTTGTTGTTGTAGTCGTTGCTGGTGTAGAGCACGTAGTTTACGGAGATGAAGTGGAGAGATGAAGTAACAGGCGTTAYGTAACGGGAATAAGTACATTACAGTGCCGTCAAAGCGGTAACAAAACAAAGCGCTAACTAGTAGAAGCCTTAACGGTACAAAACTAAACCGTACGGGAGTTTTATAACGGACGCGATTTTTTGAGCACACAAAGCACACGTTTTTATTGAATTTATTATTTTTGTTATTTTGAACAAATTTAATTTTTTTTTATATKTTTTTTAGTCTGCAGTCTACACTCCAAGTCGTCAACTTGGCAAATTATACACTATATACACACACACGTGACCACTGTCCGTTGCCTTTTTGTCTGCCACTCGACAGTTGTGATAAAAACGAAAACACAAATGAAACTAAAGTAATTACAGACTGCTGGAGCCGACAAGCTGAGTACCTACATACGTAAGCGAGGAGCTTTCWCATGCATATATACTAAGGTTTATGTATGTATGTATATGAGCACATAAAATATGCACACGCACATAAATGGTACTTTTAACGCTTGAGCGTCTCTGCGTGTTTGCGTGCGCGTGCGAGGGTGTGTAGCAGGCAATGAAGGAAGTGACTGCTCGTCTGCCGCTATGTGCCGTTATGCGTCTGCCGTTCTTTGCSTTTTCGTCTGCTCGMAACGCTTTTGAATGTAGGCCGCAGGTTGCACATTCACACATACACACACTAACGGTACACTACACATATGCTTGCATGGCTGTGTGTGTGTGTGTGTTTAAAGGGCTGGCTGGCTGGCTGTAGGCCGCATGTCAAGGTTACAACGCGGATGCTTCCACGTACAGCGTACACGTATTTGTGCCTCGCCTGCCACACTTCACTGCGAGTAGCGGATTTTTTGTGTTTGTCTGCTTTTATTTTATGCTTTTTGGTTGGCAGGCAAATATTTGCGCTGCTTAAATCACTAGCGCTCACAAGCGGCTATAAAATAAGTATTATCCATTGCTTGAAATTCCAAATAAATAAATCCCTTTTTTAATGGAGATTTTTTTTTTTCACTTAAATGCACTTTGGCGTGTTTTGGTGCAGCAAGTTTACGTAATCTGCTATTTTTAAGCGTAACTCTTTCTCTTTCTAATGCTGTTCACTCGCTTCGCAACGCCATAAAATATGCAACACTTTTTGTGCGTTGACGCTGTCGGCAATAATCCTTTCGTCTGCACTTTATTAATCCGCTGGCATTATTCGTGCCACACATRGCATACCGTTATGCGCTGTAAACYGAAAAATCTACAATGTTTCGCATATTTTATTTTATTGCACACACTTTGATTTCGGTTGATTGTAGGTGTGTGTGTGTGTGTTCACCCCATATTTTCGACCGGCTGCCCGGAGTATGTTCATTAAACACGCGCGTATGTATGTATGCGTATGCTTGTACACAAAACAAAATGTCCACAGTCACAGTAACAAGCTCACTTTAATTTAACACACGCTTTTAAATTCAGCTTCGACAATGCTTTTAAATGGCAACTTCGAAAATTGCCATCGCTTGTCACAGCTGTTTCGGTACACACTTGTATTATTGCAGTTTTTGTTGTTTTATTTTTCTATACATCCTTCGCTGCTTACGTTTTCATATATAYACATTCGTACACACACACTAACAAGGCAACAATTGCTAGGCAGTAATATGGAGCTGCCACCCCCTGGCGACAAACACACGCGCGCACTCACACCACTCTGCGTTTTGGGTGGTGAGTTCGTCCAAGAGGAAGAAAAAAAATGTCCAGCAAAATATTGTCAAGTACACAGCTATGCTTTGAGGTTTTCCGCTTACAACCGTTCCGTTCCGTAATCGCGCAGCAACTGTTCCAACACTCGTGTATCGGCTGCAATGCTTCATCGCGGAAAAGTGGTAAGCGTAAAAGCTGCGTGCTTGAGCTTTTACACTCAACACTCACTGCAATTTCCATTCTGTTGTGTGGAAAAGTTTTTTGCGCTCTCATTTTCTCTGTTACTCTCCTACAACCTTTAACTTTTGTGTTTTGTGTTAACAAAKCCATCTTTTCAATGACATTCATTTATTTGCCGGCTAAGTGTTGTTAGCTTGGTTCTGTAATTTTCATACAGTGGTACGGAAAATTAAGCAGAAAATATATAATAAATAAGAAACGACTGCATGAAAATTACAAAAACACAAGCAAGTTTATTTTTTTCTGCTGGCAGGGTTGCATGAAAAATAAACATTAGCCATCATGCTTTACTCAACTTTAATTCGAAAAAGCAGGATTAAAAACAAGTAAAAAGTGTAAAAATATACAAGGTTGCCAAATAAAAAAAATTGTAAAAACAGTTTAAAAAAATTATGCGGTTGCCACCCTTTTGAAAATTATTTTTGAAAAATATTTTATAGAATTTATTTAATAGTGCTACACGAAAAGGATTGCCACATTTTATAAAATTATATTCAATTAAATTTACCAAAAAAAAAAAATTAAAGAAGCAGAAAAATTTTAATCAAATGGTTAAAAAACTCCAAAAAAAATACGAGTGGCAATACCGTTTGAAATGTAATTTTGAAAAAATTGTACAGAATTTATTTGATAATAAAAATAGTTAAAACAGTGCAAAAAAATTATGAGGTTTCCACCTGTTTGATAATGAAAATGTTGTGAAAAAGTTTTATAGGATTTATTTGATATAATGCGTTATGGAAAGGGTTGGCCCCCGTTCGAAAATTATTTTTGAAAAAATGTTTATAGAATTTACTTGATAATGCTTCATGAAAAGGGTTGCTACATGCTTGTCATAGATAGAAAAGTTGCCATACTTTTGTTTTTGGAAAAATCGAAATGATTAAAAAAGTTTCAATATGGACATTTGTATGTACATACATATGTTTATAAGATAGATAGATTTCGTAACGTTTTATATAAATGGTTGCCACATAATTTTTAATTTTAATGAAATAAATTTAAAAAAAAATAACATGCACTCCAAACAAAATGGGTTTTTGAGAAATGTTTGATGTGTGACGAATAATATATTAATATATTATTTTAATCATATCAATCCTGGAATATGATATTGCATAAAAT